CGGCCTCCGCGCCTGTCAAGCAGAAGCGGTGCTACTTGTCCGCTGACAGGCGGGACTTCGTCAAAGGGGAGGTCGCCATGCTCCTCTCGATCAAACACATCAGAGAGGTGAAGTACCCGACGTGGTTGGCCAACGTCGTCCTCGCCCAGAAACCGCCGACGTTCAGAATGTGTGTTGATTACACTGACCTGAACAAGGCATGCCCCATGGACCCGTTCCCTCTCCCCAACATTGATCAGCTGGTGGACGAGACGGCGGGGTGCGAGTTGATGTCATTCCTCGACGCTTTCAGAGGGTACCACCAAATCTCCATGCATGAAGATGACGCTGAGAAGACGGCATTCATGACCCCAGAGGGAATCTTTTGCTACCTCGTCATGGCCTTCGGACTCAAAAACTCCGGTGCCACCTACACTAGGATGGTGGCCAAAATCTTCAGAGCGGTCCTTGGCCGGACGATGGAGGCGTACGTCGATGACATGATCGTCAAGAGCAGGCAGGCCTCCTCCCACGCCGACGACCTCCGGGAAATCTTTGAAATTATGAAGGAGTTCAGGCTCCGGCTCAACCCCAAGAAGTGCGCCTTCGGCGTTCAGGGTGGCAAGTTCCTCGGCTACATGGTCAGCCGGAGAGGCATCGAGATAAACCCGGAGAAGACGCAGGCTATCATCAACATGGAGCCGCCCCGTAACGTCAAGGAAGTACAACGACTGACGGGGCGCCTGGCGGCCCTGAACCGGTTCCTCTCCAGGTCGGCCGAGAGGGCACTCCCCTTCTTTCAGATCATGCGTAAAGCCAACAGCTTCAAGTGGACGACGGAGTGCCAGGAGGCATTCGACGAATTAAAAAGGTACCTGTCGTCCCCACCCGTGCTCTCCAAGCCCAAAGCCGGCGAAACCCTCTTCTTATACTTGGGGGTGAGCACGTCGGCCATCAGCTCCGTGCTCATCCGCGAGGACGAAGGGGTGCAAAAGGCCATCTTCTACATCAGCAAGACACTAAGGGAGGCCGAGCTCAGGTACTCCTCCATTGAGAAGACGGTGTTGGCCATCGTCCACACGGTGAAGAAGCTGGGGCACTATTTACAGGCCCACACCGTCCATGTGCTGACCCAGCAGCCTCTCGGCGCACTCATGAGGAGCCCCACCAGCTCCTCAAGGATGGTGAAATGGCCGATCTTCCTCAGCCAGTTCCAAATTGAGATCAAGCCAAGGCAATCCATCAAAGGGCAAGCCTTGGCCGACTTCGTCATTGAATGCACAGGAAGGGAGACGGCCGTCGCCAGCCCCGGGCCGGAGCCGGACGATACATGGACCCTGTTCACCGACGGCTCGTCGGCCGCGAAATCATGCGGCGGCGGCGGCGTCCTCATATCCCCTGAAGGATTCAGAGCTTACTATGCCATCCGCTTCAACTTCAGGGTATCCAACAACGAAGCCGAGTATGAGGCCCTCCTCAGCGGTCTCAGACTCGCCGCCGGCCTCAAGGCCAAGCACCTCAAAATCAAGTGTGACTCCAAACTGGTAGTGGGCCAGGTGGAGGGATCGTACGAAGCAAAGGAAGGCCGGATGAAGCAGTACAAACAAGCGACGGAAGAGTTGCTGAAAGCGTTTGAAACCCACAAGATCACTCAGATCCCCAGGGCCGAGAACGCCGAGGCCGACATCCTCTCCAAGCTCAGCTCGGACACCCCGGAGCACATCTCCCAGTTGGCCAAGATCGAGGAGTTAAGCATGTCCAGCATCCATGCCAGCCCCGTCTTGTGCGTCCAACAGCGACCAGAGGACTGGATCTCCGACATCACCACCTTCATCACAACGGGGGAGCTGCCCCCGGACGAGGAGAGAGCCAAACTTGCCAAACTCAGGGCCCCAAGCTACACCATCGAAGATGGCAAACTCTAAAAACGATCCTACAATGGCACTCTCCTTCGATGCCTCCACCAGGATGAGGCCGACATAGCCATGGAAGAAGTTCATTGTGGCGTCTGCTCCTCGCACCAGGGCCCTTTCAGCATGTCCCGGCGTCTCGTCGTCCAGGGCTTCTTCTGGCCGACGATGGCACGAGACTGCGCTGACCTGGCCAGGAAGTGCACCACATGCCAGGTACTCCAGAAGGCCCCTGGTCGGCCAGCTGTCAACTACGCCGCCGTCAGCACCGCAATTCCATTCTCCAGGTGGGGGATTGACCTGGTCGGCCCCCTGCCCAGAGCCGCCGGGAATAACCGCTACATCATCGTCGTCGTCGACTACTTCACCAAGTGGGTCGAAGCGGAACCCTTGGCCAGCATCACGGGGGCCAGATGCCAAAAATTTGTTTACAAGAACATCATCACACGCTTTGGCGTCCCCCAGGAGATTATATCAGACAACGGCACCCAATTCGAGGCAGCCCCTTTCCAGGAGCTCCTCCGGGAGTTTGGGGTGAGGCACCGTTTCTCCTCCGTTGCCTATCCTCAGGGCAACGGGCAGGTTGAGAACGCCAACAGAACAATCATGGAGGGGCTGAAGAAGAAACTCCAGGCCGCAGGAGGTAGTTGGGTCGACGAGCTCCCCAACATCCTGTGGTGCTACAGAACCACGCCGAGGAGGGCGACAGGTGAAACGCCTTTCGCCCTGTGCTACGGCTTTGAAGCAAAGGCGCCCACGGAAGTTGCCATCCCCAGCCGACGGGTGGAACAATATGAGCCTGATACCAACGAAGAGAACATGAAGATTGACCTACACCTGGTTGATGAGAGGCGTGAGCAAGCTTACGTCTGAGCAGAGAACTACCGGCGTCAAGTAAAATCATACTATGACGCCAAGGTACGTTCCCGGGAATTTCAGGTGGGGGACTACGTCCTCCGCCGAAGGGAAGCAAGCCAGACGACAGAGGGTGGCAAGCTAGCATTGAAGTACGAAGGGCCCTACATCGTCAGTGACGTGGTCAAACCCGGCACCTACAAGCTTAAACGCCCGAATGGGTCCAATGTACCACGAACATGGAATGTACACCATCTGGTGAAGTTTTATCAGTAATCCGAAGGAGGTGCAGACGGCGAAGCCCTCACCCCTTAAACGGGTTACTGATTGAACGCCACCCTCGGCCTCGAGCCACTTATGAATAAAATCATGTTCTGGTTTTTTCTCCGGAATTTAAAGTAAAACATTAGCAGGTGCCTCCGTCGGCCACCTTAGAGCGAAAGGCTCAGGCATGGCCGACATGGCCCCTTGCATTTGCAGCCCACGAGCGACAAGCTCCGGCACTCCATTGTATTTTGTATCAGCGAAGGGCTCAGGCCTAGCTGAGAGAGCACATCGTCCTGGCCCCGTAAGCCTAGAAGCGAAACGCTCAGGTATGGCCGACGATGTCCCCAGGACGAGGGGCCCGCAAACGGCCCACGTCTTGAAACGGGAAGCTCACCGCGTCGTCCACGCGCCAGATCGCAGGACGACAGGCCTGAAATCATGGCCGAGGTGACAAAATCCCAAAACTCAGGGATGGGCAACGATAGCCGTTGGAAACCGACCAAAAGTCTAGCCCGCGTCATAAATAGGCGACGGGACCCGCCCTGAGATCACGGACGTTATAAACGAAGTCCGAACCGGCCGAAGGACGAGCACACCCTTCGGCCGAAGCCTGAAAGAAGGATACCCCCGAAACAAAACAAAAAAATAATATAAGGGAAAAAGAGGGAAGCCGACGGCCGCGCACACTAGCCGGCCTCGAGCAATGAAAAAATAAAATCCCCACAATTCAGGCCCAACTAGGCCAAGTACATATCAGTTGAACACAAGTGTAGTACCACTGACAGGTAACATGGACGACACGTCCACGCACTACAAGGAAATGATCAAGGCCGAAACACACGCCTACAAAACCCTAACCGCATCGGTTGGGTGACACGCGAGAGGTGACCTTCATCGGCCACAGTCCTTTGAAGCACCAACGCTTGGTATGGAACAAAGAATCATAATCCTGAGGATAACCAGGACGAAGCGGGCACTGCACACACCCGCGGAAGAATTAAGCAATCAGGAAACAATCCTTACTTGCCACAGCACCCCGGATAGCCGATACAGGCACTGGAACCAAGGCTGTTGGTCAAGCGAAAGTTCTTTGGGAATTGGTTCAAGTGTTTACCAAACACTTAGAAAAAAATCCTGAGAAAAAAAGAGGGTTCCTCAACAAGAAACCATGGCTGGCCGACGAAGGTAGGACCATCTCCTTGGAAAAGCCATTCCTTATCCAGCACCCTCATCGGCCACAAGCCAGACCTTGGCCGGCAGCGGTACCGCAAAGAAGTAAATGCCTAACATTTATATTTAGAAAATTCTCTAAGTACTCAAATGGAAGAACTCTAGCCGAAGCGGGTACCAGTATACTCCAAGGCCGTTAGCTACCTACACCTCTGCATGTGTACTTAGAAGAATTCTAAATTCAAAAGATCAAGGTGAAGGCGCCCTTATCGGCCACAACACAAAGGATACAGGCCGACAACGACACTGGCTCAAACACTCGGGAAATCTCCCATAGCATTTGCCAAGAATGATAAATCCAAGGTCAGGCCGACAAAGCCACCAGGCCGGAAAGAAAGCAACTTCGTGGATCCAAAAACACTTAGGAAATTTTTGAAAAAAAAATCCTAAGTGTTATGATACTGCATCAACACCGGTCAGGCCGACAAGGCCACCAGGCTGAAGAGAAGGCACTTAAAAGGATCCAAAACACTTGAGGAAATTTTGGAAAAAATCTAAGTGTTATGATAGTAGAGAAACGACGGCCAGGCCGATCAAGCCACTAGGCCGGAAAGACAGCAACTACGTGGACCCAAAACACTTAGGAAATTTTTGAAAAAATTCCTAAGTGTTATGATAGTAAAAGCAAAGATGAATAGGCCGACCAGGCCACCGGACAGGGAGGCCGACCTCACGGACGTAGCGGACACTCGCGGGTGACCCAAGTTATGACTTGACACTTAGACAAATTTTAGAATTGAAATGACAAATGGCAAACAAGCATACAAGGAATTCAAAGCCGATCAGGACAACAAAAGTTTTTCATTTATATTCAGTTCAATACAAAGGTGGGCTCTTCGGCCGTTACATCATTTGGCAAAAAATTGAAAAGCTAATTACAAAGGAAAGAGTAGCCGATCAAGCCTCTGGGGCACCTCCATCCGCGGCAGGCTCTTCGGCCTCGTCGGCTCCCTCATCAGCTTCAGTCTCCTGGCCGGCAGTGGCTGCAGCACTGGTGGCATCGTCCAGAAAATCAAATTCAGTATAATCCGGCTCGCCAAGGCCGGAGCTTTCAATAGGGGACTCCCGCTCCGATAAAGGAAGTTTGGCCTGCTCTTCTGGGTCCTTCATCAGCTTCGGCAGCTTCAGGTTCCGTCTGGCCCACCCAGACGTGTAGTTCATGGCCTTCAGAGCACGAGACAGCCGACGACACAGGAGCCTCTGCATCCGCTCCTGACCCATGTTATAATAGACGGCCATCTCCCTACTGAAATACTCCTGGCCGGCGGGGGAGTTCATCCCCCAATTCTCAAGCCTGGCGGCCACCACCTCGTAGCACCAGGGAAGCCTCTCATCGGCCTTCCACCCCTCGGCCAGGAACTTCTCAACGGCCTCATCAGCAGCCCTCACAACGGCGGCCTCGGCCTCAGCTTTCGCCTTCACGGCCTCCTCGCTCTTGCGCCGCTCGGCCTCCAGCGCCCTTTGGGACTCCTCGAGCTCCCTTTTGCTCTCCTCGAGCTTGGCCAGGGCATCGTCCCTGGCTGCAGCGGCTTCATCGGCCCTTGCCTGCAACGCCCTGGCATCCTCCCGGAGCCGATCCAGGCAAGCTACCGCCTCGTCGGCCGAGGCAGCCTTCTGCTCCAGCTCCTTCAGACGAGCTATCTTCCGGTACTGCCTTTTATGACTCTCCATGAGCATAAAGGCACTCTGCAGAAACAAGGAAAACAAAAGTCAGGGGAATGAATCTACACGGACGACGAGAAAAATGACACATACGAAGGAAAGTAACTTACTTGGACGAGGAGGTCCATGCCGCCCTCGTAAATCTTCACGTCCCCGAGCTTCTTCAAGTAAGCCCGATCTTTGGCCGGCATGGCCTGGGCCAGGACGTCGTGGCCAAGGACGACATCATCAAACACACCCCCGCCAACGGGGTATTCTACCATCTTCTGGTAGGTAGCACCGGCAATCTCCTTGCCGGCCCTCTTCGTCCGCGGTTCCGGGACGAGAGGAAGCGATGGGGCAGCATCGCCAGCAGCAGTAAGGTCCACGACGGGACCATCATCGTCCACGCTGGGGACAGTCAGAGTACCGGCCTCGGTAGCCGGAGAAGGAGAAGGTGCCCTCTTCGTCTTCTTGGAGATGTTCAGGCCGGCTTCAGTTAATTTTTTCTGGCCGTCAGTGGCCGGCCTCTTCTTCTTCGATGGGGCAGGCTTTGGGGCCGCGCCAGTAGTAGCCCCGCTCCCATCGGCCGCGGCACGTCTGGCCGCCTCGGCCGCCTTAGCAGCCAACTCCTCGGCCGCTTTGGCCTTGGCAATAGCCATTATGGAACGACGATCCATCGCAAAATCTACAAAGGAAAAACACAACAGATTAATAAGGCAAAGGAACAAAACATAAAGACAGAAAGCCGAAGAAATAATTACCATCGGCCTCAGCAGGAATGCCCAAATCCGGGCCATCGGCCTCTTCAAAGGTGGTGGTCATCCTCGGCCAGAGTTGGAGGTCATCCTCCTTGTCACCATACACGTGGTACCTCAAGAAGCCGAGGGCGGTCATCTTGTATTCAGTAATGTAATCCTTCACGCTCCTCGGCCCCCCTTCCAAGAAAGCCTCCACCTGAGCGTCCAAAATAGAGCTCTTCGGCGGGTCATGCAGGTTAAACCTCCCGGTGTGGCCGAGGGAGGGAAACTCGGTGCCACTCTCACTTAGGGACACAAAAACGAACTTGCTCTTCCACCCATGAATGGACGTAGGCAAGTCCGTGAAGCTCCTCTTCTTCGGCAGCTGTTGAAGAGTAGCATAGGCCGCACAGTTCTTGTGGCTTCCTCGGCCGATCTGGTACAGATTCATGAATAGTGCCGTTGTCGGCCCGTAGCCCAGCTCCTCACACCGGAGCAAAAACCCCACCATCAAGGAGTAACTGTTCGGCGTCAGCAAGGCCGGAGGAAGCCCTACCATGTCCAGGTACTCAGTGATGAAAGGGTGAAGGGGGAACCTCAACCCCTTAGCAAAACTCATCGGGTATACTCCAAAGTATCCCGGTGGTGGAAAAAGAACATGGTCCGTCGGTCTGGGTGCCCTAACCCGCCCGAACGGCCCCACGTACATCTGGGCAACAAGATAGTCGGCCGCACTACTCTCCGGCTTGATCAGGAAGAGGTTGGTGAGATCCAGGTAGGAGAAGCCCGGCCCACTCTTCGGCCTCCTCACTCTCTTCGGCTTAGCGGCTCCCTTAACGGCGGACACCGGCCTCGGGCACGGAATGACAGCGGAAGTGGACGCCCCGTCCACCACTCGGGACGCACCTGCGTCCTCACCCCTTGAAGAAGAGGCGGACTCCTCGTCCTCGACCTCGTCGTCCACCACCTCTTCGGACTTGTACGGACTCAAATGTTGTATCTCCTCCTCGAACTCCTCGAGCACCTCATAGTCAAGTGACCTCGTGGAGGGCTGGTCGTCGTAAGGGTAGTAGTCTTCGTTCAAGCTCTTCATCACAACAAACTACTACGAGCCTAAGGGAAGTAACTTAGGATCTAAGGGTGTTCACACGCCTAACACTAAATCACTAGCCTAGGAAGCAAAGTATGCACAAAGTACAGGAGATGGCGATGAACACTAACCTTGAACAACGAAGAACACGAAGAACAAGCTTGGGAGTTTATCTCTCTAGAAAAATGACCAGCACTTCGACAATTCAGAATGCAAATGTGGTTTCTCGTCGGAGGGGGAGGGGTATTTATAGAACCCCCCCACCCAACGGTCACTACACGTGGCGCCCTCCCAATGGCTACAACAACGGCCACCAATGGGAGGCCACCACGTCACCAACGGGCCAGGCCCAACCCACATCAACAGCCCACCGGCAAATCAGACTCTACGACCTACACGCTCGCCGGCTTCACAAGTACCAGCAAGCGCCCACAACGTCCCATTTGCTTGCCAAGATCACAAATGCCAAACAATAAGGAGACGGCAACGGCCAGGAACGTAACGGCCACAGAACAAAGGGAACAAAGAGCCCCCAGCCTTCGGCTCCTCGTAATAACCCTTGATGATAACTCTCTACAAGCGATCTGCGCACAAGGGTTCTCCCACAGGGTTACCTTGGCCAGAAAATCGCCATGAGGGTTGGATTCAGGGGGTCTACGGAGAGGCCGCTTCGGCCAGGGACTCAAGCAACTCCTTCATCCCTCACACTCTTCGGCCTGAAGCAGTGGGGGACTGGGGGACTACATCGGCCTCAACAAAACAAAAAGGAACAATACAAAGAACATGGATGTAACCACAAAGCATGGCCATATCGTCCACGCATCACAATGGCACCTCGTCGGCTAGAAGCACATAGCATCATCAACAACGGCCAAAAGGAGTGCGCGAGCACCCTCATCGGCCACCCAAAGGAAAGGACGCCGTCGTCCTCAAAGGGAGCAACCTCAACGGCCTCATCGGCCCAAAGGTAAACTTCAACCATCAGCGCCCAAGCAAAATGTGCCTTCAACGGCCACCATTGAAAGAAAGACACTCATCACCCCCAAACGAACACTTTAAGGAAACAACGGCCTCCCCGTCCACACTGAGGAACGGGTAACGGCCAAAGCGCAGAACAGGATCACCAAAAAGGAAACAACGCCAACGCCGCAACGGCTAACAGCCCGGGGATGCCCACATCGGCCAAAAGCACTAAAACACGGGAATCTACTCTCCTTCACTTCGTCTACGTCTCAGCTTAGAGAGTGGGGGACTCCTGATGGAGTATATGGGTCTGAGCCCCCGGACCCACATACTCGGAAGAACAGAAAGCACAAGACACAGAGTGGCGCCCTCGTCGGCCAAGACGCCCCCGTCGGCCGAAAAGGGGCCAACTCAGATTATGGTCCTGAGCCCAAGGAACCCGGGTGCCCTCGTCGGCCGTGCCCTCGTCGGCCGTGCCCTCGTCGGCGCAGCCCTCGTCGGCCACGAGGACCTCCCAGAACCGGATTTTGCACTTATTCATTTGTACAGCCCGTTAGTGGCTTTGTATTCGGCCCAGTAGCGGTCCAGTTGTAAATGGGCCTCCCAAGCCTAAGGCTTGGGAGCCCAGTCCTAATTTTCTCTATAAATACTCCCTTTGGGAGTAGTTATAGGGTGACAAATTCATTCTATCGAAGCATATTATTGCACTTCTCTCTCTAGCTCTCACTTCTCTCTAGATATACTCTATCATTAACAATTTTGCAATCACACACCTTAACCAAAAGACCTAATAAATACTCCGTATTGAAACAAAACAATTAACCCCTTATTATGTACAACAGTACAAGTGCCAGTAACTTTTAATAAGAAAGTTACCATCTTACCGACACCGGTAGATTAAAAGGGTTCATTTGCTATATTTCAATAAATTGAATGGTGTAATTGTAAGGTTTTTCAATGCAAAAAAAGTATGACACCACATCCTTGAGGGTTTCTCATAACCAACCGGAAAATTATAGTTCGTATACCGTGGGATCATCCCACAGTGAGCACCATGCTCCGCTCCCAAAATCATGTAGTTTTGCACAACTTTTTAAAAAAAAATGTGTGAACAGTACACGCGTGAACAGTACACGCGTGTACAGTAACTGTTTTTTATTTTTGTCCCAGTAGAATGAATGATGTAATTCGCGTGTAAAGATATGTAACTTACGTTATCGATCAATGTAACTCAATTTCAGTCGAAATGTAACTTGTTAAATACATACATAGTATAAGAAATAAAACATTGATTTCAATGTAAATAATGAAAAAGGAGTCTAATTTCTTATTTATTTTGCCAAAATAGTGAATATGTATTGTTTTTAATATTAAGAACACAAAATGTTTTAAAGAAATCATTTTTCCCCAAAAAAACATTTTTTTTTTTGCAAAAGAAAATCGATTTAAAAAAAAAATATTCAATAAAAGGGTTTTATTTTGTGATTATAAAATACAATATACTTATTTATGTGGTTTAATAAAATTTTGTATTAAATTGGTAAAGAAAAAAATTAATTCAGTTGTAATTTAACTAGTTAAAGATAAAGATAATGAAAATATCACAAATAACTAGATGTAACTCACACATAATTAGATGTAACTCGCGCATAAAAGTATGTAACTCACGCATAAGAATATGTAACTCACACATAACAAGATGTAACTCACGCATAATGATAAGTTCGTATTTCAGCACGCATTTGATGCGTGTTGGGATCGGCTTTTGCCGGTTTTCCCTAGCTTTAAGGGTTGTAAGTCTTTCAGTTTTAGCTCAAATCACGTTAGCTGGGTGATGGATCGAGTTTTAGTATTTTTAGAGTTGAAATCAGGTCTTTTAGTGCCCGGTATCCGCGCTTGAGAAGTGATCGGGACGAGTTAAGAAGCATTCGAGAGTGAATTCAGAGTTTCGAAGGCCCTCGGGAGGTTCACGGTGAAGATTAGATGAAGAAAGAGCTTATGGATTGATCGCGGAGCCAACAGGGATTGAAGGGGAAGAAAACGAAGAAATCGGAAGAAAAAGGGCCACGCACGGCCGTGCGTACAGGGACGCACGCGTGCGTGCGTGGCAGTAGCGGCCAAGAATCTTAAAGACGGACGCACGGTCGTGTGTCCGGGTACGCACGCCGTGCGCCCGAGGCGAGAAGACGGAAAGCTCACTGGCAGCCACGCACGGCCATGCGTGGGGGGACGCACACGTGCGTGGGACATTTTGACGCGCGGGTCTGTTGGACGCCACGCACGCCGTGCGTGCCCCGTTTCAGTCCTGATTCAACCCGAATTTTTGTATTCTATAAATAACGCCTCCATATCCCGTTTGAGGGGGTTACGAGCATTACGGAGAAGCCTAGGGACGGATTTACCTGCGTATTTACGTTGTTTTCTTCAAGAACCCTGGGATTATTTGTAAGTTCATCTTTTTAATTAATAACAATTATTTCTATTAATCCTAATTCTGTTGATTCTTCAATTATGAGTTGGGAGTAGTTTTAATTAGGGATTTGGGATTGATGAAGGGGTTAATCATGATGTATGGCTAGTTTCTTGATTTTTAGTTGCATGAATGCCGTTTAATTTGTGTTTGAATAATTTAACTCATATCTCTTGTAACCTAGATGACCACTAAAATTACAATTGTTTGTAGAATAAGTTAAGAGAGATCTAATTTATTCTAGGACACATTCACACACACTTAATCATTCGCTAAGATATTAGTAGCGATTAAGGGGCCGTAAGCTCGCTCGTCTTGGCAATAATTTAGGATCATGTCGCATGAGAGCTCAGCCTGGTCCCCTAAATTATTGTACTTTACGCCTGATGTGCCAGAACTTAGTAATGATTAGCTAGGCTCAATTAAACTAAGAGAGAAACCAATCTATTTTTATTCGCTCATTAGCATTAGTTAATTTTCAACCAATCAATTTCGCACAAATCTTTTATCTTATTTTCGTTTTAATCGCTGAATTTAGTTAATTCTTATTTCCCTTTTGTCTGTCCCTGTGGAGACGATACTCGTACTTACATCACTATATTACGATCTATTTTAAGTGCGAGAAAACTCGCATCACATAATAACATGTAACTCGAGCATAAGATGATGTAACTTCGTATATTATCAAATGTAACTCCAAGCTAGAATCAAAATAAACAAACTCAATGTCTTAAAAACCTCTAAAAACACATAAAACTCATAAAAAATATATTATAGAAAAAGTTTATGCATATAAAAATATATTACAAAAGTGTATGAATATAAAAAAGATATTACAAAAAGTAGTGTATGAATATGAAATGCAATGTACTTATTTTATTTAGATTATTAAACTTTTTGTTATGTATTGATAAAGAATAAAAAAAATAGATTCAATTATAATTTAAATTGAAGATAAGGAAAAGTAAAACTGCAATTAAAATGAAGAAAAGAAAAATAAAGAAAGAATAGCAAAAGAAAAGGGAAGGAAGAAACTCCAGGGAAGGAAAGAAAGCAACGTAACTTTGAAAATGTGGGATCAGCACATCATGCGGAAGGTGGGCCGATCCCATGGTATAATTTGCGGGACAATTATTTTAATCAATTGAATTGTGTACGGTCTTTGATCACGGATGAAAAGAGAGTGAGGTTCTATCTCAAGTGTTTTTTTGAAGTTAAACTCAAAACATCTCCCTTGTACCTCCCTCTTCCTACCAAGTGAGCTATGCCCAAGCCTTTCGATTCAAGAATCTATTTGTAGAATCGTTGATAGTCTGAGGACTTATTTGTCCCATTTCATTAATATAATCAAATAAGTCATATCTAGAAAATAAAACATGGTTAGTAGGTTAGTCCTATTTGTCTAAGTTTTAGTCGTGTTTGAAGTAAAATTTGAAACAACTTGATACCACAACCCTATTTGGAACTGACACCATTAAGTACATCAACTTATACGTAGTATTAGATGGAGTGAAAAATGCACTATTGCATATGACAATTTTAAGTACATAAATTCGGGTTTTTAGTGTTACCCTTCAAATTAACACGTTTGTACGCTTGCGTTGGCTAACAGAATTAGGGATGGACTCAGGTCCGGGTCGGGTCGGGCCTAGGCCCGGGCTGGCCGGCGGTTCAGGAGTGGTGGACCTGGGACTGGCCCGGGTAACCACCGGGTCCGGTCCGGGTCCGGGCCGGACCCATTATCAATTTTTTTCCCTCTTCCTAATTAACCCCCCTCCCACCCCCAACCCCCCAAACCACCCCAAATGGCCCAAAATACCCAGCCCAACCCGAAAATTTAAAAAAAATTGAAAGAAAAGAAAAATAGTTTTGGCCCGGCCGGGTCAGGCCTTGTTTTGGGTGACTCAAGCTCGGACCGGAAAACCCACGGGTCGGGCCTACCCGGACCGGTCACTGACCGGGCCACCGGGTCAGGCCGGACCCATTATCAATTTTTTTCCCTCTTCCTAATTAACCCCCCTCCCACCCCCAACCCCCCAAACCACCCCAAATGGCCCAAAATACCCAGCCCAACCCGAAAATTTAAAAAAAATTGAAAGAAAAAAAAAATAGTTTTGGCCCGGCCGGGTCAGGCCTTGTTTTGGGTGACTCAAGCCCGGACCGGAAAACCCACGGGTCGGACCTACCCGGACCGGTCACTGACCGGGCCACCGGGTAAGGCCGGGCGAGAACAGTACCGGTCCCAGGACGGTTCCGAGTTGGGCCACCCAGCCCGAGTCCATCCATAAACAGAATGCTAATAGGTGCAACCCCTTGGCCGAGTGCCCGTTGGTCAATGCACCCCTGACGCCAGAACCTTGGTTGATTTCCCCTTTTTGGTCAACTTTTTCTTAGTCAATGTGCATTGCAGGTTGGCGTCCACTCTAGGTCGACAACCTGAAGGTCGACACCAGAACATTGATCTAGTGTACTTCTTCTTTTTGATTGCCTTCTTGAAGTTCGACGTCACTGGTCGACTTCCCCTTCTTACTCAACATTTCATTAACCAACTTAATCATATTAACGTATTAATCTAACCAATGTACTTATTTTACACTAAAAATGGTAGATGCAATATAATATATTTTTACATATTCGGTTGATCCTTTCCTTCTTTCATTAATAATAGTGTTGAAAAGTGTTGTTGCGAGGAAGTGTCATACTCCTCTCCATTTCCTTCTCTCCATTTACTCTCTCCATTTCTTTTTCACTCTATCTCTCTCTTTAAAAATAATAATTGAACATAATCTTTTCTTTTTCCCTACCCCATCATTTCCCCACCTCTCTCTATCTCTCTCCTACCGGACCATTCCGGTTAATGGAGAGGAGCAAAATCCTGTATTTTGCGGGATCGTTTCTTGTTGAACGTGACTAACACGGTGATGTAAGACGAGAGGTACAAAACTAACAAAAGTGGGGCAGAATATTTTCACCTTTAGTGGAACTAACGCATTCAACACTTAAAGGCAGAATCAGATTGCCACATATCGGCTCCGCTAGCTTGCTGTACAAATTACAACAACATACAGACAGACGGATCAAAATTTCTTCAGAGTAAAAATAAATACACACTTCTTACGTTGCAGTACGTGCGTAGATGCATCTTGAGTTTGGTTGCCCTTTGACATCCAGCCGACTTCTTGTACACGCCCCCTAATTTTTTTGTTTGTGAATAGTCTGTTCACCGACGATATTTTTTCGTTGATATCAGACCACTCAAGGATATCTCAGATATTTATCCTCATACCCCTACCCCATCAAATGAACAACTTTGGTTTATGACTGCTTGTTTTCTTGGGCTTATGGTAATACTGCAATCCACCGCCACCTGCTCACGCATCGCACACCACATCAGACAATCATTTATTGTACTGTTATAATAACTAGTACCAAATGACACAACAAAACTAGCATAGACATTAAGAAGTAATTCAAAATCTTATATATATTCACATGTAATACCTCATATTTTATGAAGGATATCATGGAATTTCATAGCGCAATTTGTGGTCTCGCTTTATATTAAGAATGTTACAGATGGAGGGTATACATGCCACTTAATGAGACAGACTCGATGACAAATGTAACCCCTAAAATTAAGGCACTTCTAGCGTTGGAACAAATGGAGGGTGCAAAGCTTTGAAAATAGAGTTGTGTTATAGGTACCCATTTTGGGGTACCCCATTTTTACCCCAGACATTATGTGATCTAAATGAGGCCACACTTAAATGTATTGCCCCACTTAAAAGTGTTGCCTCATTTCACTTGAAAATACGGAGTATCATATGAATTTGGAATCCAGCCCAAACTAGGCCTAAAGTTGCCCCCATAATGTTCAAAATAATAGACATCATGATGAAGCCCTATAGGTCCCCCAACTCCTCCATTATTGATTTTGGCTTCATACCTTAAGCAAAGAAAAAAGTTATTCTTTCTTTTTTCAAATTGATTGTGGTGGGAATTGTGCCCCTTCTCTACCCCTCGAATTTGGTGGGTTCTTTCCCTTTCTTAGTCAGCAGCAAGCAGTACTAGTTTTCTCCATTGTTTCCTTATTTAAGAATGATGTCATTTCGTTTAAGGAACACTCACTTACCATTTTGCCAAAGATGTGGAAAGACGACCAAATTATGCACCAAAAATTTACAGCTAGACCCTGGAGAAAAAGTTCCCCAAATAACTTTCAAACAGCAATGCTGAGAACAGACGTGCCTCATTTTCCCCAAACACAAGTACTCCCTATAAATCATCACTATAGTAAATTTTACAGCGTACTGTGCTCTTAACTACTACTCCCTCCGTCCCCCTATTATTGTCCCATTTCCTATTCACTTGGTCAACACAAATCACTCTTAATCTCTTACTTTATGTATCAAATTTTTATCAAATTTGATTCTGGTTTTTGCGACTTTGTAAATCTTTTAATGTAGTTTCTGAATATGTAATTTTTTTTTCCTAAAAATAATTTGAGTGCGGACAGGGGTCTGTTTGCTTTATCGTCGATCAAACATCGTAAACCGCAATGGGACAATAACAGGGGGACCGAGGGAGTAGTACCTAAAAATGTTGCGCCCATATTAAAAATTTGAACTACGTGCCGACTTAAACTAGACAAGTATTATTGCAGAACAGAGAAAGAATTAGAAGCATAATCAATTCCAAAAAAAAAGTATGACACCCCATCCCTGAGGGCCCCCAAACCCGACCGGACGGTACGTTGGGAGGATGTAAATTGGACTATAATCTCAATCTGACAGATAGAGAGTGGGTTCTGTCCCCGGTACTTGCAGAAGCCCTATGCATTTTTAGCACAGTAACCCCTCATGGCAGTTGCCGGAATTCGAACCCAATACCTAACCCTTGTGGCACTCCTTGCTATCGGTTGAGCTACGCCCACCGGTACATAATCAATTCCAATAGACTATAGACCATATGCGTCTCCTTGCAATTTTTGCTTGCCAAACATTCCAAAAAAACTTGCTTCTTTCAGAAGGCAAAACAAAAGGATGAGGCCCATGTGAGTAATCATAATACGCGATAATTTCGCTAAAAAGGACTATAAAACTCGAGGAAAACCGAAAAAGTGAACGACCAAGTACTATTTAGCAAAAGGCTGAAGCACATGTTAGCAAATGGAGGACCCCAGTCCACGATTTAGCCATTGTAACGCAAAAGTAAGGGGGGTTTTCAAATATATTACCAAAACAAAATTTATTCACAAAAATATGATTAATAGGAACATGTCATGATAACTTAAGTTTAAAAATTAGACATAAATTCAATTGCTACGCTAATCACTAGTCACATATTTGTAAACAATCTTTATTTTAGTCATATATGTATAACTATTTCAAATACTCCCTCCGTTCCCAAAAATACTTCCCACTTTCCTTTTTGGGCTGTTCCCAAAAATACTTCCCACTTTCCCATTTTGTACAATTTGTGTGGCTCACATTCATTTTACCTTTTTCTTACACAACCACAACCATACATTTCCAATTTATTCCACTTTCTTAATAAGCGTGTCAAGTCAAACCGGGAAGAATTTTTAGGAACGGAGGGAGTAGTAAATTAGTAACTAGTAACTACTTTTGCCCATTTTCGTTTTATTTTACTTAAACAATCTGTTTATTTTACTTAATAATCCGTTTATATTTGACATGTATAATTGCGCGAAATTGAAATAAAAAATAATGTGTTACAAAAATAATGGAAAAATTAACGATAACAATCTCTACTTGATAATTATTTCACAAGAATGACGTGTCACTTAATAAATCATTAGAAATAATTCACATAAGCACAAAATAATTCCTATGAAAAATTGGTATCATATTCGATTCCAAATTATAAGAGATATAAAATTGTAATATTTGACTAAGTTAAAAATAATACGGAGTATCATATACTTTGTATTAATATTTGAAATATCTATTATAATTAAAAGGAAGATGAAATATGATTAAAATATTGATAAGAAATACTCCAGTAAAACAGTAGAAGGACATTTATTTCATTTTTTTAAAATAAGAGTATTTGATGTGTATTTGTCCATATCTATACTACGGGGTATATTTTTATGAAAAATATATAATTTTAAAATTAATTCAAAGTGTACATAAATTTATAAGCAAAGAGGGCATTGGCATAAAAAATTATGTTATGATAACCAAGCATAAATTTAGGACCAAAGAGGGCATTGACATAACTAAGTTTTATTTTAATAATATTTTTCTAAAAAACCCTTATATGTAATCAAGCTTAATCATCCCGCCTATACTATCATTCTAAGGTAATGTCATCTTATGATTGTTCCAAGAGGTGGAATCTCCCACCCCAGGAGCCCTCACCCCGACCCGACAGGATGGTGGGAAGGTTAGTCACGGTAACTCAGTCAGTAGAATGGCAGTAGGCCCATACACCCGTGCGCACCAGAGGCTCAGCCTTATTTCAGGTCATGTGACCTCCACCCGGTCATTGCGGGGATTCGAAACTTGGTCCATTGTTCCAAATCTCCCACCACTCGACCAACTGAGCTACCCGTGCGAGTATGTCATCTTATTAAAGATCATGTCACAATATGTTATGACTGCGGGATAAAACTCTTTCGGAAAAACATAACATTCTTATTTGAAAAATTGATTTTTCTTTAAATATTAAAAATAAAAAATCCACAGACAAAAATATTTCTTAATAACTATTAGTGACTACAATTGTGTTCAGAGTTTACACCGTAGTAGCTTACATGTACCGAATAATTACTAAATGTATGATATCATATTTTAACACAACTACAGTCACTAACGGTTACTCCTTTCGTCTCGTTGGAAGGTTCCCATGAGTAAATGACATAATTTTTTAGACAAATAGTTAAATAAAGTAATTTAGGTAACAAAAAAAGAGAAAAGATTTTTTTTAGAGAAAATAAACATATAATGTGAAAGTAACTAAAAGGGGATAAGTTGAGGGAGGGGAAATCGTGAGACTTGACATCTAATGAGTAGGAAAGAGAAAATTGAGTAAAAGTGTAATTAAAGATATAAATTATTTCCTAAAATTGAATGAGAACCTTTAAATGGGATACCCAAATAAGAAAAATGAAAACTTTTCAACAAAACGGGGGAATACTAAGGAGGGGGTGTTTGGAACTGATTCTGTTTCTGCTTCTTTGTTAAAAGTAGAAGCAGAATCAGAATCAGTTTTTCAGAAGTTAGTCTCTCCTAACTTCTAAAAAACTGCTTCTAGGAGTAATTCTGAGTACTCAAAAGTACTTTACACTTTTGGGTATCTTGTACACATCAAAAACCGCTTCTAGGAGTAATTCTGAGCACCCAAAAGTACTTGTATCTTTTTCAGAAGTTGGTCTTTACCCAAACACTCCAACATCTGCTTCTTGAAAGAGCAGAAGCAATTTTAAAAAGAAGATCCAAACACCCCCTAAGTACTAGTACTGCATCCGTTCCTTAAAACTTTGCCAACTTTTCTTTTTGGGTTATCCCACTAACTTTGTCACTTTCTCTTTTATGTAAAGAATTTGTGATTCCAGTTAATCGTCTGCACAAATCTCAACCACACAGTTTTTACTTTATTAATCACTATGACAGTTAAACTTGGCAAAGTTTTAAGAGCGAAAGAAGTAATATTTATGTCCATCATATTTTAAAGAGTAATATTAATGGAATTTTTTTCATAGAAAAGTCACTTTATTTTTATTCTTAGAGAAAATTCCTAGTTTTAATTCTTACCACTACCCTAAGTCCTAAAAATACTATTATTAAAAGTATAAGCCCATTATAATAATACGATTAATAATTCCTCAAGTCAAATAGAAAAGCAATAATGAGCAAAGATAATAGAAAAAGGTGATCTCTTGTACACAAGAATCTAACTTTGGTAACTACAATTTTCAAAAAAAATGGTGATTACAATTGCATTCGCTTTTACATATTCACTTGTAATAATTTCTAATAACCGATTCCATTATTAACTGTAATCACATTTTTGCCTCGCATATTTCTAAAATTTAGAATGAAAATTGCAAATTTGATCAAATTATTAATCCGGGCACCGCAAATCGGGTCTGGAAAGTTCACATTTTCAGGAAAGGGTGCGGTAAATCGACAATACGCGCTACCAGTTAAAGGGCTAACCTGAACCTCGGGTGAACTGATCCCTACAAGAACGATTTTGGCTCCAGGGATTCCAGTGACCCGCAAAGCAATCTGGTCGGAAATTGCAGCGTCTCGGAGCAAAGCACCTCCATCAATTTGAAGCAAGCTGGACCTATTAACGACGATAACTGTAATGACGCGTCGGGTACAATGAGCAGACATGAAGAATTCGGGGACCGAGCCGTCACCGAGGGGAATCCTGTTGTACATGACGATAAATTTGGTTTCGGTGAACTTGATTCCTAGCTTGTTGTCGTTCTTCACGGAGAAGACCATGGTGATACGGATGGGGGTGGAAGATGCGGCGGCGGCAGTGGCGACGTCGGCAGCAACGTCAGCGGAGGAAGCAACGTCAACTGCGGCAATGGGGGAGAGGCCGACGATCTGGACGGTGACCTGTCTGAGATCGATTTGGGGCTTCTCAGGCTTGAGAACGAGGACAATAACGAGGCAGGCGGCAATGATAATGAGGAGAATCAAGATGACGAAGAGGAAGAGGCAACAGAAACAGCCTTTAAATGATGCCTTGGAGGAGGAGTGTTTCGAATGGTTCCTGTCCCTGGAGCTCATTTTGCTGAACTTGGTTCTCAGTGAAGAAGACGGAATTATTGGGGAAGTTAACCCCTACTTTCCCTTCCCCTCTCAGTGAACTTGGTTTTCTGACTCTCTGTATCTATGGATTGCAGATCGCTGCTTTGCGTGCTCTGTGAGATAATAAAGGACAGAAGATGAAAATGGGGCAGGACTGCAGAACTTACCGGCTGACTTGGCTTCCCTTTTCAGTGAAAAAAAAGGACGGCATCTAATCCCACCACCGGCCCGATAAGATAAACAACAAATCTGTTTGTACCCACCTTTGTATGCAGTATCATTTACGCAACTAACATTACTAATTTTCTAAATGAAAATGGTCTAAGAGTTAGAAGGAACTAAAAATGACATACTCCCTCTGTCCCATAATTTAAATTCAACTTTCCCTTTTCGTCTGTTCCAAAAAGAACTTTGTTTTCCCTTTTTGGCAAAGAATTTGTGATTCACAACAATTCTTACATATTCTTACACATTTCTCTTTCATCTGCACAACTCTCCATCATACAATTCTCACTTTCAATCCGTGTGCCATTTGTACTATGGAAATAAATTCTGGGACGGATGGAGTAATACAAATTTACAAGGATGAAAACCAAAAAAGAATTGGAAGGATTTGGATTTAAATAAAAATATGCCATATATAATAATAAAAAACAATCGAGAAGTTATATTGTACTCAATTGCTACTCTATATTAATTTTATTTAAAATCGGGATATTTTCAAAAATATTATTAAAATAAAAACTTGTTTACACAAATATGACTAATAGAGTTAATAGAGTGACTATAAATTTATATGATGCACAAATGGTAAGTCAAGTTTAAAAATTGAATATAAGTTACTATAATTTCATTACTATTCTAGTCACTAGTTATATTTTTCCAGTAACAGAGTTAATAGAGTGACTATAAATTTATACGATGCACAAGTATGATTTTGCCAAAAAAATCATTTTCAAAGATTCAAGTTTATATTAATTGAAAGTAAATTACTACGTATTGATTATGACTAAGTAATAGAGTAACTATAAATTTATACGAATCACGTTTTTTAACAAATTGACTATACAAACTAACAACATATGTGGTTTCCTAGCGCCGATTTAGAGAGAGGAGTGGAGAGAAGAGCGGTGAAGGAATTAGTTTCACAGCGGCGGCGGTCCTAGCAAGTCTAGGTTTTCGGTGGGCGGCACTATAGCTTTCTTGGTGCTTCAGTGTCCCGGAGTTTTGCTAGTTTTCCTCATCTGAAGCACATGGTGGGGCGTGGGAGCATCCGGGATCGGAGGGTCTTGGTGAATCTCAATTGCAGCACAGGGGAGATGATAGGGATCTGGAGACTGGTTGCATTTGGACTGGTTGTGCTCGTGCGGTATGTTGGCCAAGAGATGGAGGCGAATCACGGGTAGATCAGGGTGTTGAACGAAGAAGATGAAGCGATGATGATCCACCCCCCTCCTGAACCGCCGACATGCTGGAAATGGGTGATTAGGGGTCGGAACACCGTGCTGGAAGATTGGTTTCAACGACTCAATAAGTTCATCCTGCTTAAATTCATTGTCCCCATTTTTAATCTGTTTTCAAAGAAATTAGTTGCTATCATTTTGCTTTTGGTATTTGCTTATGGTAATAGGTTTTTTACATTGATCGAGGGTTCGGCTAGATTTGATATTGTTAGTGGGGCACAGATCTATTTTTTCAGCAATAGCTGCATTAAGCCCGTCTGGTGGTTAGTGATTCGTATTGCTCCTTTAGGGGTGGTCGTCTCTATGTCTAATTGTAGGGTTAAAAGTAGTAGTTGGAAGGTGAAGGTTGTTGTCAGTTCTGGTCATTTTGTGATTGTTGTAACGATCCCTATTCTAATGATATCAATATAGTCGTTTTCCTTTCAAAAAAACAAATTGACTATACACACAAACAAAATAAGGGGAGTGCAAATATGTGAAAATATATTATGTCAATAAATTTAGGGAAAAAATTGGTATCATTTTCTCAACTATACATGGTCCACTTTCAATAATCTCTATTATGACTTGTTACCATGTAGTCCCAAGTTTAGGCACCCTTTTCCTGAAATACCCCCTGACCGGTTAACATAAGTTATAACTGGGAAGCATAAACACGTGCAACTCACGTGTTGTTACTAAATATAGATTACACCCTATGCTATTCTATATTATCTTCTCAATTGTCGACCACCGAATTGAAGGAGTGAACAAAGTGAACGCCGCGCCACACGACGGCCAAAACATCCTCTTATCTTCTTAATCGCTACGCAAAAACACAACGAACGCTACATGACGATGAAATGGCTTCGAATAATGGGTCATCTTCATGGGGTAGAAGCACTGAAAGGAGTGATTTTTCAATGCAGTGCTACCACAAGGTGTGTTCTCCAACTAGAATCGTGAAAACCGACCAAATATTGGCAGACAATTTTGTGGGTGTGCATTGTGGCCTATAAGTTATTTAGTAATCCTTACTCTTGTTAATGAATTATGTTAAGATGTGACGATTTAGTTGTTAGAAACAGTGACAAATGAATCACCCTGAAATGGAGTTTATTTTTGTTATTTTGTGATGAGTTTATTTGTAGTGTTCACTTCCAGAAAGCAGCATGTCATTATTTCAAATGGGTTGGTGAAGGAATTGGACCTTGCAAAGAAGATAAAAGAAATGATAAGGAAATGTTGTTGGAGAAACTTGTGATGGACAAAAAAAACACTAGAGGAAAAGATTGTTAGACTAAAATGTAAGCAAGAGAAGATGGAAGCCAAAAATATTGAAATGCAGCTACTGATTAGCAACAATGTGAAGACACAGAGTGACACAAAGAATGGCATTCATTGTTTTTTGTTGCCTCATAGACGTGATTTTTCAATGTGTTGTATTCTAAGTGACTTGATATAGTGTGTTAGACAAATGTGAGAGTTTTAGTGTGCATTAGACCTGTTTTGCATTTGTAGTAGTTTCTGAGAGCAGTTGGTTAACTATTAGCTATTTTGGACTATTGTAATGTTAAGTGGATGTTTTGATGCATTTGTTTTTGTACTATTACAATGTTATGTAATGAAAATGTTTTAGTGTGTTGACATGAAGCCTGTCATCTTAGTTTATGTATAGGCCAGTAACTCAGTAAGCCCTAAACTTCCGAAATGTGTTAGTGTTTTGACATGAAGTGTTTTGAACTTATTCTGCTTGGTCTTAGTAAATGTAAACTTCCAAAAAAGACAAGTGACATGTCATAAAAACACATTAAATGTAAACCACACACTTTGAGCTACACGTCAACTACATAGTATTGAACAATAACCAACATTACAAATTCATTACATATTACAAAGTCATTACAGAGATTCCAAAAAAAAACAAAGTCTCCACTATATTGAACAATAAGCAAAATAACAACACAATCCACCACACTCAGCACATCACATATTCCACTATCAGAGAGGACAACCTATTACACAATAGCAACACTACAGACTCCACTCTAAATAGGACTTCCTTGGACAACAACCTTTGACAGCATCCTAAGGAAAAGAAGGATCAACAAAAGGCTCCGATAAATTACTTGGATCACCTTGCTGCCCAGGAAGATGTAAACACAGAAAATAATAATGCAATTAGTGACATAATCAGAAAAATATCTCTAAAGAGTAATAAAAATCTGGCAGGAATTTACTCACATTAGTCCAAGTGTTTCCTTCTCCATCAATAAGGAATCCAAATCATGCAAGAATCTGACCCCCTACCTCTTTCTCTTGCAACTCTCCCTCTCCCTCTTGTGACCTCAGCTCTTCTGCCCCTAGGAGTTGTGTTACTTCCTTTGCTTTAATAACTCCCCCTCCTTATTCTTGAAGGTTGTGCATTGATTTGATGATTGTTTTGGTGTTCTTTTTCATTTTGGCTATCCTTTTTGGGTCTTCCCTGCTTCTCTTTTCTTGAGGTTCAGCTGCCTTGTTTTTATCATGGCATTTTTTCTTGTTATGGTCTTTGGACTTGCACACACTACATGACATCTCAACACCATGTTTCCTTAACTTTTCAGGTCTGTTAAGGTTTTCATTGTGTGACTTCATCCTATTTTTGGACCAATCTTAATAGGTTGGGGGTCTAAAGGCATATCAACCTTAGGCCAATGTCTCTCTCCAGGGGTGAAATACCACCTAAGTACATCTTTTGATAAGTGTCCTTAGTGTAGCAGACATGCACATAATTTTTAGGTGTCTCGTTCATGAAGAAAATGCATGAAATGGCATGACAACATGGTATTCTAATCAAGTCCCACTTCATACATGTGCAAGTTCTAGCTTCTAAATTAATAGTCAAACTATCTAGTCTGTGACACACTTGAAATAAAACTTGACTAGATGGTAAAGGAGTACAATTGGCAGCGGCATCAACTTCTTCTTTCTAAAGCCTAACCTTAATTCTAGGACAAAGCATACCAGTTGTTCTCTCCATATGCTGTCTTTTCACATCCAGCATTTGCATTAATGCACCTCTTATATCTTCTAGCATGAAAATAATGTGTTTTGTTGTAGCATTTATTATGTAATCATTAAATGTTTCAGCCATATTACTAACAATGACATCACATTTAGTGGTTATCCTAACAAATGCTCTACAAAAACATGTTCGGTTTCATAAACTAAATGAACTCACTGCAGCTGGATTGACCTTTTTCATTTCTTCTAAAGCTTCCTCCAAATCGGCTTCATTATATGCCTTTGCAGCTTTTCAGAATAGCATTTTCATTTCTGCTGTAATTTTTATGTCAGAGTGCAAATGCATGTCTCACACAATGCATATGCTCATCCAAAGGGAATTCTTTAGTTACTCCCCTCAATATAGACTACCGCAAGATAGATATAAGGTCAAAAAGGGAAAAGTCAGTTCAAATATAAGTAATGCATATCAAATAGCTTCATAATATGACCTTGTGTTCATCTAAAATGAATGTGAGGTCAGCACCAACATTGTCTAAGTTCTTTTTTAGTTCACTTAAGAACCATTCCGAGTTTGAATTGTTTTCCCTTTCCACTACTGCCCAAGCTACTGGAAACATTTGATCATGTGAGTCTCTCCCGATGGCTGATAATAGCATCCCACCTAAGAATGTTTTGATGAAACAACCATCTACACACAACACATATCTACCTCCACTCAACCATCCATCTTTAAGACCTTTGAGACACACAAAGAATCTCTGAAATGTAGGAGGGAAGCTCTTTATTGTTGGGTCTGTGAAAAGCTTGAAGTGTCTCTGGGAGTTAACATGAGTAAGAGCTTCCAAGTACCTTCCAAGTTTGTTGTAGTGTTCTGTCATACTTTCATGAAGTTTCCTGTGGGTATGATACTTGACCTTGTATACAAAGTCCTTCACTTGCACTTTGTAAGATAGATCTTCAAATGGTTTCCATGATTTCATTTGCAGACCAGTAAGGTCTAACTTGAAAACTTCCAAAAATTTTGTTGCTACCCTGGGTGCCTTCAATTGTCTGGTATTTTGCATATTTTGTTGCAAGTGTGCTCTCCAATTACACTTTTAACAACCAAGCATGCTCCTTTACTATCCCAACCAACATACAATCTAAATGGACAACCTTTCACACAACTTGCACCTATTCTTTGTTGTCTGTTCTTATGACTTACATTAATCTTCAAATTTCTTCCTTGGGCAATGGCAAATCTGGCCACAACATCTTTAAACTTCTCCCTGGTTTCAAATCTAATTCCAACCTTCCAAATCAACAACTTGAAGTCAGTATTTGCATCCACCAAACTTCTCTCCTTGTTATTGAAAGACGGACATCTCCATCACTCTCAAGAGGTGTGTGGATACCATCACCTGATTCTTCATAGTCACTCACACATTGGGTGAGAGGTGCATCTTCTTCCTCCACCTAACTTGCTTCACCTGCTTGTTTTTGTAGTTGTTTGGCTATTTGCAGAGTTTTTGAATTCCAGTCATTCACTCTTCTTCTTGATTCTCTAAATTCCTCATCATTAATATCCTCGTCAGATCCAAAAAGTGGGACCTCTAACTCCTCATCTTATCTCTCAGATCTTCTGAAGAGTCAGAAGCCTCATCATCCATAACTTCATCTTATTCTCCATCTTCACTTCTTGAGGTGTGTGGTTGTGAACTAGAGGTTTGTGTTGTCTTCCCTCTATTTGGTTGAGTTCCACTGCGATCTGAACTTCTTGAAGTCCCTTTTACCCCCTCATTAACTCCTACTTCACTTGCCCTCCTTCATTTTCCCCACCACCTTCAAGTAGTAACACAAATTCTGGTGAGCTTAGTCCATTTCTTATATAGTAATCAATGATTCTAAATTGCATAACTAGTTTCTACATTTCCCTGACTTCATCATCAAGCTTAGTCCATGTCTTAAGTAGTAAATCTCATCAATGTTGCTATATTTTCCACATGTACCAGCTTACTTTTCTAACCAAAACTGACACACCTCATCAGCATCGATGTCAAAGCATTTATTCTCACCATTTACATACTCTAAATTTTTCTGATTGTTGTGCTTACAGACACCTCCATGCCACATCTTAATTGTAATCACAGTTGAAGTAGTCATCTCAAGTAAGACCCGTAAATAAATGGAAATTTTTTAATGAACTAGTCTACAAAAAATGATCTGCGTTTTAACACACTCATAGAACCCTAAAATATGGAATGACATTTTGATTCCAAGTTCATTTGAGTACAATAATATTACACACTAAAAGTTCACGTCTTTATTTTCCACCGTGAGAATGGTAACAAAGACCTAGCATGCCTGCGGTTCTTCTGATTTGTCTCTCCGGTCAAAACCAACTAACTTGTGTTTCTTACAATTTGGTTTTGTACGGCTGGGAACGGTGACTGATATCAGGTACGTGAGAAGTAAAATGAATGGTTTAATAGTTATGGGTATCATGATGGAATAGGCGTTTGTGATATTTAAAAGTTTAATTTACCAGTATTCAGTGTGAGGGAGTATTTCAAGAAAAGGGTGACTAAAGTTGGGACTGCAGTTAAATAAATCATAATAGGGATTACTACAAGCAGACCGGGTATAGTTGGAATTAATAATACCAATTTTTCCATGAATTTGTGAGAAAATGTTCAAATAAATTTTGTACATTATCAATTCAATATCAACCATATAAATTCACTTTTATCAATAATCACACCACCTTCTCATATACCAAACTTGGACAGAGGTAGTACATTTTAAAAGCAAAAGAACACGACATTCTGAAGTTTAAAAAACCTAATAACACGATTAGCATGATCACTAATCAGTAAGTCTATAGACAGTGACATTGGAGTAATTAGACTATGCGGGCCCAGACCAGCCCGGTTAATGCTAACCTGGCCCGGGCTTTTACCCGGTTGGGGAGGGTTGGGCGGGCCAAGCTCGAGCCCTGTATTTGTTGAACTAGGCCGGGCGGTTCGAGCCGAGTCCGAGCTTTTTTTTGTTTTTTCACTTTTTTTTCTTGGTTAGGGCGGGTGTTTTTTTTTGGGGGGGGGGGGGGTTGGGGGTGGGGGTGAAGGGGGGAGGGTCGGAGTTAATTAGAAAGCAAAAAAAAATTACCTTGACACGGGCCCGGCCCAGACCCAGTATCAACCCAGGCCGGTTCCGGGCCCAACAATTTGAAAAAAAAAAAAGCCCGCCCGGGCCCGGAACCGGCCCGGGTCCATCCCTGAATTAGACTATTGGAGTATGAAACACATTTTCTTCGTCAGCTTTCACTAACAAGGACATGAAAATCGTTTCATCAAAGGAGCCTTGTAATTACGGAAAAACTTCAAGATCCTCAACCTTATGGCAATAAAAATAAGCTGAGTTGCTATCTAAATAGTTCCGAAGAACCAAATCCGGGGTGGGTGGAGATTAAGAGCTAGAACATGCAAGGAGAAAAAGAACTTATAATACCAACAGAACCTAACAGAACCTAATTCCAACAGTAAGTAAATAAAAATTAAATAGAAAATCTCCAGACCACCCTCTAAACCATGAAATTCCACATACGATCCTTCGTACATTTCTCCACCTGGACTAGGGAGCTTTGGTGGCGTCATCTCCTGCCAGATCGTCATCATCATGGTAAATGTTCTCAGCCATCTGCCATATCTGCAGAATGTTGTCTTCAGCTACACTGGCAACTACCCAATCTTCACACGGATTCCATGAGAAGTCTGAAATTTTACTTGTATGCCCTCCATGAATAAAGAGCAGCTCAGGTGGTCCATCTTCAGCATCCTCTGGCGTTTGCTCTTCATCGATCCTGGTAAAAACGAGAGAAAATGAAGGTTTATAGCAAAATTACCTTTACACTCCCTGTCTCCCCCTTTGTCTAGGAATAAGGTTCTCACTTCCTATTTATGTGATCGCCTTAACTCTTTTATCATCTGATTTTGTGTATCAATTTTTGTTATCATACTTGAATTCGGGTTATACGATTCAATAGTACTTTCAGTATAGTTATAAACATGTAAACTTTAATTATTAAGACTATTAAATATTATTAGGAAAGATTTAGAGTTAACTTTAGCATGGGTCAAACATCATAAACCGAACTCAGAAACTTAATATGGGAAGAAGGGAATACATTTAAGGAGCGTTTGGTTTGGGTCATATAACATTACCTAGGTAGTGTAACATTACTGTTATGTTTGGGTTTTTAAGTGAGGGGATGACATTTGTAAAATCTTAAACTACTACTCCGAATGTTTTTTGTCCTTGACCATTTATGAAAACATCAATAAGACCACATTCTGGTAACATTCCACAGAACAGTCATTTTATCAAGGTAATGTCATTTTCTTGTAATTTACCTCCTTTCTGGCATTAATACTGTTGCCCATGGTAATCTCGCAATCCATAAACCAAATGCTCCCTTGATGTTGATTAAGAATTCACTCAGCTGAATGGTTGTTTAAACTTTAAATATGTAAGTTGCGAGCTCGGATATAAATGACAATTACTATCCCAGATTTCCAGTTACTCTAGTTAAGCCTTCTCATAAATATGGATACGGGTAAATACACTGACTTGGTCGGTTAGATAACCTAGATTATCTATGACTCCTATCAGTTAGAACTTAGAAGCCTGTGAGGTAGAAAATGCACTACGAAGATGTGTACCTGCTAAGATCCCAGACCATTAGCCTCCTGCCAAGGCAACAAGAAGCTAGGATAGTCTCGTTCTTTGGATTCCACCCAACCTGGAACACCTCCTCCCTGTCACAAATATTTTTTATTTAAAATACACACAAACACACTCAAATTCATTTCATAAGGGGGGAAGCTATCTATTGAATTGTATACAAGTATATATCTTAACGTTCATTGGAAAACGTGAGGAAACAAGTAACTTTGTCTTACTTGTGGGATTCAAAGGTATGGAGTGCAGAAGTAATCTTGCGCAGGTCAAACAATTTGACTGTCTTGTCAGTAGATCCAGTTGCTACAACCCACTCATTAAATGGATTGAATGCCAAGCAGTTAACCTATACCAAATAAAAAGATGCAATGCCATGAGCATATATACATGCATAAATAAACATTTTTATAGGTCTTTAGGTTATGAAGAGACCAAATTGTTTTTTTACTCCAGGGGGTCTAAGGGGGGCTGGGGGCCTGGAGTAATCCGGGATGAAATTCACTCCATTGAATTTCAAACCCTTATGTGCCTAATGGGTTTCGAACTCGAGACCTCTCACTAGACACGGTAACCTCACAAACAGCTGGGCTGGAATGCTTGGTTAGAGACCAAATTGTAATCACAGTAGAATTGTAATAAAAGGCATAAACAAGAACGAAAAAAAATATTTAAATGTGTTTTTTGTCCCTGCAATTAACATTTTGTTTTAGATCCCAGTTATTTTTTTTGTTATTAATTCATGCATTTCTCTTGTTAGTTCTCCCGTCAACCTCTGCCAAAAGAACAACATGACTCACACAATTCCGGTTTAGCCTTTCACTTGAAGTTTCTCGATCTCATTGATGGCTATTGGAGAATTCAGGTCTAAAAACTTACGCCACTCTGCCTCTTTGGAAAAAATATTAGGCAATTTTTTAAAAATAACATCATAAAGCTAAAACGGTTCTTTATCCATAATAACGTTTTTCTAAGCAGAGGTTGACACTTCACATAGAGGGACTACAAGTAAGAATAGTGCAAATTCCATCGATGAATAACAAAAAAAATGACCTAAAAAATAAAAAATAAGGATGAAATACACATTTAAACTAAAAAAAAGGTACTAAGGGAAAACATGAATGGAAATGTTTGGCCCAATTGATGGGTTTTCAAATGTATGTGTGTGAGATCCCAACAGTCCTTGTAGATTTAACGCTTTGATCCTACCTCACCATTATGAGCAACCACAGACTGCATAGGCTTGGTGACTGATGGAGTGCGTAGATCCCATACGTGTAAATATTGATCATCTCCAACCGATCCAAACAAATATTCATGCCTCAGATGCCATGCTACATCCTCAACCACTCCCTCATGAATCTAACATTTCATTACAAAAAATGTTACTATCTATGGGCATGCCATAATTCTATACAAAAATCACCTTAGGGTTCATTATTCCCATGTCACTGTAGACATGAGAACTAGTCTGTCACGTACCTTAAATATCTGCATGGCATCAAGGGCCTTACTCTTTGGGGTGGCATTAATATCCCAAAGGCAAATCTGAGCATCATCTGACCCACTTAACAAATGACCCTGCTTAAAATGACTCCACGACAAACCATAACCTTCAGTGTTGTGACCTCTTAATCTCAAATCAGGGTTGCATGCACCATCGAGTGGAGGCTTTGATGGATGTTTGCTATAGTCGAAAACATAGACTTCGGCATTAACTGTCTTCGTGGCAATGATAAATGGATTTTGAGGCATATAACGGGCTCTGTTCACCTCTCCTTCATGATTTATTTGCTGGATTATTTGTACCTGCAAGAGTAATATATGCCCAAAAATGATTGAGAAAGCACACTGATACCCCAAGTCCCAACCATATGGATCATCTTGAAGAGGAAAGAAAAAGGAGAAGACACCCATCAAGACCATCTAACTGATAAACTACAAAGCAGTCATATATACATTGTGTAGAAAAGAGATGGAAATGAACAAAAAGAAAGTTATTATGCTAAGCTTCAAGGGAAGACAGCATCCACTAAATCAAATTTGAAAAAGTAGACTGGTTATTGAACCAACTAGGATAAGGTTCAAGGTTAAGCAGTTCAACCTTGGTTGGACCCTTAGTAATTAAATACATATTTCTAATATCTTATACTTTGTAATACATTATGCAACAAACTAATCTAAAATATTAAGAAAATAAGATTAATTAACATTTAAACTAACATACACCAAACCCGACTAAAGCTAAACCAAACAAATCCAAAATGGCTAACATGGAAGTTGGGTATTGGGACTTGGGAGCGTAAGACAGAAGCTCAAAGGAATTGAATGGGCTCTGAAAACCTTAACTCTAGCCTTTCAAGTAATGAGGCTGCATCCATACAGACCCTCAGCTAAGGAAAATTTAAAAAATTATGGACGATTTTGAGAAGTTCAGTAAAAACTTCGTAAATGAATCATTCATGATGCGCAAGGGGGTTCAAACATAGGACAAACATGTTAAGGTTGTAAGTCATCAATTAGCCAAGGAATGTTTTAAGTATACTCATGTATATCATTATTACTTGTTCTGCAGCTAGCAAATACATGTTTTCAAAGTTCTTTTGTCCCAAATACATGCGTGAAAAGAGTCCTATCTTATTTGACCAAACAAATATAATCCAGAAGAGGAACAAATAAGTTAAATATGACAAGCATAGTTGAGCCAATACGAAAATAATATGTGTGTGTGCTGTGAGCAAGATTCTCCTAGAGTCCCACATCTTTTAAGACTACACTTTCATTTTTAGGTTGTACCAAAAATATGAACACTCTTCGAGCACCACTAACATTTTACTTTTTTACTCTATCCCTTTATCTATCAAACTAACATTTTACCTTTTTACTTTTTGTGGACCCATACTAATTTTTCGTACTTTTTGAAGGTTACAATTGTAAAAGAACAACTATATTCTTTATTTCCTTAAAACCCATGCCAAACTCAAATGTATCTTACATTTTGGGATGAAGGTAGTATATTAATATTATATATATATATATATATATATATATATATATATCATTCCATGACTTTTATCAGTTTATGCACTGGTACCTACCCAAGGTTAAAAGGTTGTACCTTGACTAAACATTACAAGAATGAAGAATCCATAAGATGGATCTTTATTGAACTAATATGTGGGTATCAGTGTATGACTGTGCGAGTATTTTATTTTAAAAGATAAATAACAAAAGAAAAAACAAATAATCAATTCAGACGTCAGGTTTCAGCTGGTTACCAACGTACTATTTTTTTATTAGTGTGGACATATGAGTAACCGGTTGCATTTTCAACTAGTCGCCTGGCCCGGTTTTTATAATTATGAATGAAATTATAAATGCCAATGTCTCCCGTGTAATATTAAGATTTATCAACAGATAATAACAGTAGAAAATGAGAGTAAACTCCTTACAAACAGTGAAAGAGTGAAGATATCTTATAACATAGGTGATAAAATTCCAATTTCCCCTCAAAAGGATCATTGTCCTATCAGAAGGCACGCTTGTTGTATACAATAAGCAACTAGCATTTTATACCTGGCAAGTGGAGACATTTATATTGATTTATTTCAATGACACAAATCACACAATCAAACTGACAAACCATTAATTAAAGGACTTGCAATTTTGCATAGCTTTTTAGATTATTAGACACAGGCTTCATGGAGCTCGGGATGGAACTACAATTCTACAAATCGAGCAAACATCGAGAGCTGCCTCTAATTTTACCAAATGTGGCCTTTAGAGGCAATCATTGACATAGCAACAAATAATTAAATACCCCAAACAAAGAAAAAAACTAAGGACCCAAATCAAACAAATGTCCTTCACATATGGTATAATTTGAATTAGAATGAAATTGTAAGGGGAATTAAATAGATATGCTCCAAATACATTTAGACCTGAGATTAACTCCGTACAAATTTTCATCCAACTAGGAATACAGATTCAAGTTATTTTTTATTTCATCAAAACGAGAAAAGCTAAATAATAATGATAATAAAAATAATCGAATTCCACTTGATGAAAAGTTGACATTCAAACTTTTTTGGGTAAAGATTGACATTCAGACCTTAGTCCACTATATCAGCAACATACTTTCAAATGTATAGAGCAACCATTTTGTAAGGGAGATTTAGTTTATACTCCGTATAATTGTATACGGAAGCGCTCTCATATGAACAGTTCGCACTGCTACCCAAAACCTAAATGCACAGAGATGCATACATTACCAAACCCCCATAAAAATCAAATGTCACTAAGACAAGCGAAGTCTCAAATTCACAAAATGAGAAACATCGAACCCAACCCTCACACAAGCTGATAACACAGCCCAGTTCGTCAAAGAAGAAAGTCTTAATCATAAATGGAAGAGTTATTTTTAAAAAATACCTTTCCATTGGCACAGCCGAAACCTCCGAAATCCGACCGATCGTCATCATACTGGCGGGCATCATTTTCAGCATCCTCTAGCGGGAGCTGGACCTTGGCGATCATAAGGTAGTTTGGCTCATTTTCCGAAGTGTGTGTCCCAAGAATAACCTTTTGGACAGAGTAATCCTTCCCAGGCAGCTCTTCCCGGCCGGGAAGCCATTCGACCGTAAGCGACGGCCACTCAAGCGCGTGAGTGATAACAAGATCATAGAGGAAGGGGGTATTTTTCTTCCAAATCTTGTACTCCTCGTTAATTTGCCTCTCCTCCACCTCACCTCTCATCTCTTCATCGTCTTTGCCCATGAACTCGCCTCCTCAGCTCAGAAGGACAGCGGCGACAGTACAAGTAGAGAAGACGGAAGCGCTGAGGAAGGTTTATGGCTTCGATTATTGGGAGTCTCCAGAATTTGGTTGTTGAGTGAGCATATGGATTTCGCTCTTACGGAAATTGGAGGGAAGATTTTGGTGGGTTTTAACTTTTTACAGCAAAAGTTTCAGAGGTTACTTCGATAGTACTCCGTAATAACGGAAGGAGGGTTTATAAGAGCCATATTCATTCATTCATTCCCGAACTCCATCAACTTAATAGGTAAGTGGGCTGACCCCTTCTTCATATTGGACTCCGGCTAGTAAATGTTAGCCCCATGGACAAAATCCATAATTCTTTCATATAGACACATATCTTGTTTAGCAAAAGCCAATTTTATTATATCTACATAGAGTCTATGTATCACGGATACTTCACTAGGGTACCGTATCAGCTTATTGGAGACGTTTTCGTATCCGATACTCTAGGATACTCGTACCGTACGTTTTCGGATCGTATCTGTAATTTTTAAAGGTTTTCAATTTTATCTGTAATTATTTTAAAATTTTAGATAATCGTATCCAGACATATACACGTATCAACTTTGTAAAAAAACCATACTAAAATTCTTAAAATACGAAAACAGAAAATAAATTTTACCTAGCTTCTATGTGGTACACAACTAATGGGCCTATATCCCTAATTCACTCATCTTTAATTTACTCATTTGGTCTATCTCTAACTTACTCATCGTTTATGTGGTACATAATTAATGCGTCTATCCCTGTGTTTTTGGAAGACGATGTTATCCCTAAAAATTAGTATCGCCAGTATAAATATGCATTAGAACTTTTAGAATATTTTTTTACCTCAACCAAAAGGTGTTACTGAACGAAAGAACCGCACATTGAATGATATGATGAATTTGATGCTAGTAAGTTTGGGCTTGCCACAAATATGTGGGGCGAAACAGTCTTCTCAAGAAACTACATTTTAAATAAGGTTCCCCAGAAAAAATATGATAAAACTCTGTACGAGTTGTAGAAAGGTAGAAAGCCTTTCTATCAATATTTAAAAGTATGGGAGTGTCTTGCAAAGATATTTGTGCCAACACCTAAGAAAATAAAAATAGGTTCAAAAACGATGGAGTGTGTTTTTATTGGATATGCACAAAATAATAGTGTATCGGTTTTTAGTGTACGATTCGAATAATCTTAATGTACATAAAAACACAATAATTGAATCGAGTAATACATCATTCTTTGAAGACATATTTCCATGCAAGTCCAATGAAGGACCAAGCACGTCAAAATGAACATTTGACGTAGCTGTGGAAAATATAAGTGATAGGTCCGGAGATGAATCTGAAACCAGACGTAGCAAACGTGCTAGAAAAGAAAAAATTTCGACCCGTATTTTCTTACATACTTGATAGAATTTGATTCGGACATTCTAACATGTATGGTAGAAAATGAACCGGATTTTCTAACATGTTTGGTAGAAAATGAGCCACGGACTTATACGAAAGTCGTGACATCTACCGAAGTTCCTATGTGGAAAGAAGCCATAAAAAACGAGGTGGACTCTATCCTATAAAATCACACGTGGGAATTGGTTGATCTTCCTTCGTGATGTAAACCCTTGGGATCCAAGTGGATTTTTGAACGAAAAATGAAACCTAACGGTTCCATTAATAAGTACAAGGTCAGACTTATAATCAAGGGATACAAGTAACGTGAAGGTCATGATTACTTTGACGTGTATTCTCCTGTAACGAGAATAAATTTCATTAGGATGACACTAGTCATTGCCGCATTGCGGAATCTGAAGGTTCATCAAATGGATGTAAAAAAACGCTTTTCTAAATGGTGATATAGATGAAGAAATCTATATGGAACAATTTGAGGGATTTTGTGTTCTTGGCCAAAAAAGAAAGTGTGTAAATTAATTAAGTCATTGTATGGATTGAAACAAGCCCCTAAGCAGTGGCACAAAAAGTTCGATCATGCGATGTTAATTAATGAGTTTAAAATAAACGAAAGTGACAAATGTGTTTATGTGAAGAGCACAGTAGACGACTATGTCATTTTGTGTTTATACGTAGGCGATATACGCATCGTTGGTAGCAATAATCTAATGATTAATTCTACCAAAAGCATGTTAAATTCTAAATTTGACATGAAGGATATGTGGTTGGCCGATTTAATCTTTGGGATTGAAATAATTAGGGGACCGGACGGTCTTGTGCTAAGTCAATCTCATTACGTTGATAAAATCCTTACGAAGTTTTATATGGATGATTGTCAACAGGCAAAGACACCATTAGATAAAAACGTGCACCTTACCAAAAATCATGGAAAGTGTATTTCTCAAGTAAAATATGCTAGGATTATCGGAAGCTTGATGTATCTAATGAGTTGTACCAGGCCCGATATTGCCTTTGTGGTTAACAAGCTAAGTAGATATACAAGCAACCCCGATGATGAACACTGGAAGGCAATAGTAAGGGTTTTTGAGGTATTTGCGGAAAACCCAAAACTTTGGACTGCACTATGCCAGATATCCAGCTGTACTTGAAGGTATATCGGCGGTAGTTGGATATCTGACATTAAGGACTCAAAGTTCACAAGTGGATATATTTTCACTTTAGGAGGTGCAACCGTGTCATAGAAATCCTCGAAAAAACGATGATAGCTAGATCCACGATGAAATTTGGGCTAATAGCCTTGGATAAGTGCACTGAAGAGGCTGAATGGCTACACCATTTTCTTGAATATATTTTAAATTGGGAAAAGCATGTCTCTCCAATATGCATACAGTGTGATTGTCAAGCGGCAATTGGAAGGGTACAGAACAACATGTATAATGGTAAGTCTAGACACGTTCGTCGTAGACATAACACCATTAAACAACTCCTCACAACGGGTGTTATCACAGTTGACTACGTGAAGTCAAAGGATAACATAGCGGGTCTGCTAACCAAACCATTGAATAGAGAATTATTGGAGAAGTTGTCACGAGAATTGAGACTAAAGCCCGTGAATTGAAAAGTTCTATAGTGGACACCCAACCTAGTTGGTCCTATGTTCAAAAGGGACAACTAAATTATAGAGAGAAGGATGATCACTGTGGGGGTCCCGGACTCCTACCCACTCCTCGTTGAAACAGTGACTCCACCACGAGGCTAGAAAAAATGTTTGCTTTAATGATTCTGAAATGTTGATCTGCTTGATAACATTGGAAGAGTATATGGGATACTTGTGAAAGAATCACCTATGTGAGAGAGAATAGGGTCACTTCAAAGAAGAACTATATAAGCTCAGTTCTTTAGAAACTCTTGCAGAACCAGGACGGTGACCCATGGCCAAAATGGGCAGACCCGTGAGAACGGAACAAAGTTGGACGATTCATGTGTAAAGATAAGTCAATATTTACACGACGGCAATATAATTCAAGGACATCGAGTCTACTAGACAGCCATTAAATAAACATGTCTTTACAGCGGAAGGTTCAAAGGATAAAACTCACCTCTCTGTATGCAGGGATCATCCGGTGAACACAATGTCTCTTCCTATCTTCGTGTCTTTTTTTTTTAGTCTCGAAAATCAATTTTCATTCATGTGGGGGATTGTTGGAAAATGTTTAAAAATTTGATTTACATGGTCGTTTTTGAGAAATATTTTGAGTGGGGTCCACTTCTGACTTGGGTCGGGTCAAAGTGGTTTCGGATTCTCCTTGTTAAGGGCTTTAATTCAATATGTGGTACACTCAAAACGGATAACGGGTGAATGAGAAATTGATTCTCGAAGTTCACTCGTTGAAATCGAGAAAACTAGGAAAATGATGAGTTTCTAGTGTGATATTTCCCACCGAAAAACCCAAGGGATTTTCACCCCCTTATAAAGGGAACCGTCTTTGAAGGAGTTAAGATTCCTAGGTGGAAAGGCTCTCTTCGCGTGCAGGGGGGGCAGGGGGTGCCGATCAAATCCCGAGAACGGAGAACAAAAAACCGCTATCTTCTAAAGATAAGATTATATTCAATTTTTTTAATATTAACTCCTTCAAAGAGGGTGCTGAACGATCACCAGTAGGCTGATGCTTGCTGCTGAAGCGTTACAGCAATTTTGGACGAATCAATGTCCAACGGTCTGGTCATTGATGTCCAACGTTCAGGTTCATTAAGACGCCATTAAAACACAACAAATTCGTCCGTATAAATAGCTGGCAGGTGCTTTGTAACATATGTTCATTCACATTCCTCATGTATTTTTTGAGCTAAAAACACCTTGAGTTCTCTTTGAAAATTCCCGAGTGTTCAGCCCTTGTTTCCGTTCGTCGGAACAATCAGTTATGTGCTCAAACTATTGTTCGTGGGCCACCGTATCCTAGGTAACTATCGTTGCAACGCTCCTAGCACCGTGGGAGGCAACGAATACGTTTTAAGGATATTGTGCGTTACACAAGCTTTTGATATTATTTGTTCCATCTAATTTGTGTTTTTCTTTGGCTGATTTAATTAATTTATTTTATTAAGTTTTCTTCATTTTTTTCGAGTTCACATCCAACACCGCATACCTGTATCGGTGCTACATAGTATAGAGTCTGATTATAATAAAAGTGGTCTTTCCCTATAAACTATAAACTACTTCACTTTTGGTCATTTGAGATGCAATATTGCTTTCATATAATTTTCATGATCCACTTTTGGTCATATAAGGGATACTATTACATAGCGGAAGCACATTTCTTTGCAAGGAAGAAAAACTTCAACTTATTTACGAAAATGTCACTACGTTTTCATCCATTCTAACACATTTTTTACATATTTAAAGTCAATAGATCATAAATTTAATGTTCCGGATTTATTCCTACTTTTTCATGGGAAAGACTTTTTTATTTGATCCAATACATAGTTTGATTCAAATACAAATTGTGTTTAATGTGAAAGATGGAAGTTTTCCTTTTTACTTCAATGCGCTGCAATTTTCAATTTCAAATACTGATTTTTTGATAACAACCATTTTCACTTATTTATGGAAATGTCACTGCGTTTTTAACCAGATTAGATGGATTGTTGAAACTTTTAGGACATGTTTACTCCACATGTCACTAAGCGGTGCTTATTAAGACTTGCGTCAATAAGTGACGCGTAAAATAAGCAGCGCTATAAGCTCATGTTTAATTGACATGATTAAAACACCGTTTAAAATGAAAATGTCCAAAATAATCCTATGCGTATATGGACACACAAGCATTCATGTATACATAAGTGTATATATTAATATGTGGGGCCTACCCCTTACCCCTACTCATCCCCGTACCCCTACCAATACCACTCGTACGCGTATCCATGCACGTAACCCCTACCGTTGCCTCTCACCCCTGACTCATG